GATTATATAAATCTAATATACTCATTATTTTTGTAATATTTTGTAATTATTTTATTTGAAAATCATATATTTTAAATTTATATAATTATATAATTCATTGAAAGAAAACATCAAAAGTAACTAAGCTGAAAAGTTTCTATTAGTTAACGATTATGAAAATAATATATTAGTTTTTTTTAACAAGAACTAATTTGAAGTTCTTAAGTCATGTTGACACAATATTTGCTGATGAAACTTTCAAAAGTTGTCATAAGTTATTTACACAATTTTTCACGATTCACAATTTATCAAATGGAAATTACATACCATTAGTTTTTTTTTTTTTTTTTTTATTAATTGACAAAAATGTAGAAACTTACAAGAAAGCATTTCTTCATATAAATTCAGAATATATAAAAAATAATATTAAATTTTTACCGAAAATATTATTTTCTGATTTCGAAAAAGCAATTCACTCGGCAGTATTATTTGTTTGGCCATCAGTCGAATTAAAATGATGTCAGTTTCATTTAGCCTAGATTTGGTGGAGAAAATTTCAAGCTCTAAGTTTGAGAGTTTGAGTAAGATAAACTCAGGAATAAGTTATTACCAAAAAATATTTTTTGGCTTCCCTTTTTTAAAACCTGAAGATGTAGAAAACTGTTTTACCAGTAATATAGTATTAATTTTACCACAAAATAAAAAAGTAGAAACCTTTACATATTATATTTAAAATACATAATATATAACCCCCGATTGTGACGGTATGCCACTTTTGTAAAATATACAAAACTTTTGATTTATTTAAGTCTCTATGATTGTGCACTTTTTCAATTATATCACAGAAATTTAATTTTTATCTAGAAATACCAACAAGTCATCGAACAACTATTGCATTCCAAAAAAAAAAAAAAGTGAGTGTGCTTATGACCGCACGACTGAAGTGAAACTTCTTTCGCTCTATCTATATGTATATATATGAATGTGTGTGTGCAATATATACATGTATGCACATATACATATATTAATTTCCTACAAATATTTACATTTATTTTATGTTTTCATTAGTAAATTAATATTTTTGCATTGATCTTTTATTTTTTTTCATTGTTTTATTCGTTATTTTCATTATTGGGTACATCAGTAATTACTGTGGTTGATTGTAAAACCGAGACAATAGGCTTATGATACGAGAAATACGATACATATATTTTAGAATTAAAATTAGACAGAAATCTAGAAAAAACTACATCGATTGTTGTTAAGTATATAAGTATACACATTTTCATTTCCCAGCTGTAAGAGAAAGAAAGAAAAATGTGCGCGCGCACTGCTGACGCTTGCCTATATCCCCCACCAATTACCGTTCGCCTCGCCTGATCACACTTTTCGTAACGCGTTCGTCAGCTTACTCCCCAAGCCAAGCGCGCGTAAAGAAGTTTCACTTCAATAACTAATTGTGTATACTTATAGTACAATAATATTTGTTTCTCTATAATATACATGAAATATGCTATTAGTATTATTTTGAAAATGTACCTAATAAAGTATAACTGTGTACCAAAAATCGATCAAAAGTACTTACTTCATTATGCAAAGTTAAAACTTGTAAGCCTAGTATTTCCTGAGCCTCGGGTTATATCATATTTTAAATACCATTTTATAATTTATTAAAGGTATTGCATTCAAATTAAATACTTAAATACGCTAATAATGTTTTATTCTATAAGTATCGACTAAAAACTACTTTTTTTGTAATACTTCCGTGAAAATACATTTTAGTAGTTGGATATTGTAAACGAATCGATTTATAATATAATACTGAAGATAATTTATTTGATGCAAATTAAACAAAATTGTAATATAAATATTTATAATTTTTTATGTGTAAAATAAACTATGCAATATGAATACACTATGATATACTATGACATCAATCAATTTGTTAATTGCGTAATGAGAGCGGTGCCTTTAAGGATCCAATAGCTCTCAGGAAAATCAGTCGGCAACAAAACAGCAATTACAAAATTAGTGCTATGTCCGGTGGTTGAAAGAACCCCAGCTCTAGCTGCAGTTTTATACAGAGGACAATTGTACCTCAAACTATGTTCGTCCAAATTGGTAGTTGGCACTAGCCGTATAACGGGCAGCGAAGGATATAGGTCACCTTGAATAATCAAAAATAATACATAAACATTGTGTAAGTGTATAGCGCTATTAAGGTTTTGTAACGATATACGCATTCTGATAATATATCATTATTTATTTTATTACCTTTAGATTTAGGAAAATTAATATAACAGTATCTTTGCAGCTGTATAAACACAAATTATTTAGTACATATTATAACAATGATGACACATGACACCACACACACACACACACACACACATATACAAATTCGATTACCGGCAAAGACGGCATATCAACATCTATAAACATCGATACGATAATCAACACTACGCACAGTCGCTCACCCAACAGCATTCCAAAAATTGTACCGTTTTTCTATGCATTTGTTTTATAAGTGAAATAAATTTAACTAATTATAATTATATCTTTCGATCGTCGAATACATTATTTCAACATACTTTTTTTTCTTTTGGTCTTCAATATCTACCAAGTAAAGTCGTGCAAAATACAGCTTTGGATCACAAGTTCTTTGGAAAGTAAGTGAAGAATATTTATAGTAAATATTCTCCGTACATTACTCCACTGGAAAAGAAAAACTCGCAAAACTCGCCTCCTACCTATCCTCTATAAGATATCTCACGAAGTGGTGAGTTTAAGATACATGACAAAAGAATACAACATTTAAATATAATCTCATGCAGGTATACTAATAATTCTGAAACATAACTTCACTGTCTCTTTTTGATCAACTCTCTATTAATTATACATACCGTAGATATTTATCTTATTTTTAACTCATTACAGTTTTTATACTTTATTTTTGATCATTAAATTAAATTATTACCGGGAATGGGATCAACCAGACGACTGGTAGTGGAGTCTATACGCCCGGCGTCCAGGTATAGACCATGTACATAAACGCCATCATCCAGTTTCTTTAGGCCTTTGTAAGCTTCGTTGTCTTCTTTCGCGGTAGCTGCATGCACGGCGGCAATTTCTTCTTGTACCAAAATGGTTCGGGTAAGCTCAAAATCAACTTTCAAACTGTCAATGGGTATGGCATATTTTCTAGCATGTCTCTGCAGACATCCAGTCATAAAACCTTGTGGAAAATATAAACCTGATATCCAGTAAGAAGGAGGACTACCAAACTTCATCCAGATCTAAGATATTATGTAGTTTTTAAATTTACATTATTCCATATAATAATTATTTGCAGATATCACTTACATAGATAAAATCTAGTCTAAGTGCCAAGTCTTTAACCCAGCTACCCAAAGCTTTCAACGAGGGGTATGCTTTATTCAGCCACATATTAGGTACCTGTATTATTTTTAAGAAATTATTATATGTTAGACACATATTTAAAATTATTGAAAAATCTATAGGTTCTATAAATATAATACCATATTGCTCATGAATGATATGTAAACGCCTTCCAATTCTGCAGACATAACCACGAGCCCCTTTATCGCCTTACGTAAATCATTTAATGAATTTTGTATGATATCAAGTAATTTATTAAAACGTTCGATTTCCTGTGACAGTACAGTGGATAATGAAGGCAATCTTCCTTTATCGTCTGTATTCATTATTGTGGAATGAGCTTCACCAAAGTCTATTAAATTCACAAGTTTTTCGGAAATATCAATGGCCATTTCCATAACGATTTCATCATCTGATTTACCAACAGTGCCTGTTAATGATTTTGGATATGCTTCAATGATTGTCATTAATGTTTCTTGTGTTTCTTTAGTCTGATAAATGGAATAATTACATATTAATAAACACAAATATCTTAATATGTATATCATAACAATATGTAAAAATAAAAATATTTTTGTTGTATTTTAAAATCTAATTTATAATGGTACTTGATACGCAATGTTCGCATTTTCATGCATTCCAAATATTTCCGGTTCTTCGACTATCGGTAACTTATCTATAAATAACTGATAATCATTAATGGTGGTGCATTTTACTGTTTCTGGACAAAAGTAAATACCAGACTCGGAGTATTTATAGTCTGAAAAATATAATGTAGGCGTATACCAATTTATAGATCTTAGTAAATAATAAAACCTTATACGACATAACATCATACGCATTACCTGGTTCAAGAGTGTGAGGACCAAAGAAATTCAAAAGTACGGTTTTCAACGTTATTTGATCCCAAGAGTCAGTAACTCTGCCACCATAGTTTATCTCACCAGTAATGTACTGTAAAGCATCCCACGGTATTTCTTTTGCATTTAAGCAATACATATGCAACAATAACATGGCACATTCGCGGTCACTATCAGTAAACGAATATGCAATGTTCCAACCAAGCGACCCGAATTTCTTTCTTTCCAATATGATAGCGTGGAAAAAACACAGTCCAAATACCATTTTCCGCCAATCGGAACTGAATGCTACCATGTAATTGATTATATGATTAAATTATAAATTTTATTTGAAATAAAAATATCAAAATTTACCATTATTTTCGAAAAAATCGATATTTATGTCTGTAAATGATCTTTTCATATTTGCCCTTAAGCCTTTTGGTGGTTCGTTTGTAACTTTCAATGCATTTTGTAGGACAAATGTAGGAAAACTTTTTGATGGCATCGAACTTAAGAACAGCCTAAACTCAGAATTAATATTTAATGGATTTTCGATTAGATTTTGAACTAAATTTTCCATATGTAGCATCCACGATGATGCTAAATGACAGTTCTGAAAATTAAATTTAAAACATGACGTGCTTATTTATTATTTTATTATTAAATGTTAATAATATTTATATTTATTTTTCTATTATTACTTGCAAAAATATCCAATGACCTTCTCTTTGGCCATTTTTTATAAGTTTTTCTGCGATAGGACCTTGTCCCTGACCCAAAGATATTGCACGTAACTTATCTATCATTCCAAATTCCATAGCAAACTTTTGAAATGCTACGAATGGATCTGAACCCGGACTAAGAATGAAAATCAAAGGTATAGTCGAAGATGTATCATTATATAATAAGTGAAGTGAAACTCCTGGACTTTCAATAAATGCTTTTCCGAGTTCAGTGCTAACGTAATTAGTAATTGCGAAAATCAATTTTTTCTTCTTTAAATGCTTTAATGATCATAAGTTTTTCAAATGAATTTAATTTTGAGTTCCAGTTTATTTCAATGTCATTATTTTCATGATCTAAATGAATATCTTGAATAAAATTTCCTAGTGTGATTTTTATTGGTCTCGTGCAGTTTTCAGGAAGATGTTTAAATATCGAAAATACTTCAGACATATAATTAACAGATTTCCACATGTCTTCTGTCAATGCAAACACTGCTGGTTTAATTGTCATTTTTCTTTTTAATTTTCCTATGGGTCCACGCAACAAAAAGTTCCATTGGGTATTTGTAATTTTTCCTGCTTGTAGATTTATGCTTACACTGACCAAAAAAACTAAATATTAATTTGTGGCGTTCGAACAGGCCTCTAGAAACAGTTGTATAAACAGCCTTGGTAATATCTTCGATCATAGTGGGCATTTTAACATCTATTCTTATTTTTTTGTCACTGTTTTTAATCACATTGCAAAATATCTAAAATTAAGTAATGATGTTTTCAGATTAAATACAACATACGTTCTATTATAACTTACAGAACTAAAATAATTTAAAGAAAATTGGTACATAGTATCAATTTCAGACAGCTGAGCTACTACAAAATAAAGGCATGATCCTCGATTAGCTACTGCTCGATAACGCTCACGCGCGATACTGATGTTTTGTTCTGTTTCTTCTGCATCAATTAAACGCCCGGCGATGATAATAGATGTTTCCTGAAAATAAAATTATAAAAATAAGAATTTTTACGATACATGAATATTTAAAAATATTTATTTAATCCTACTTTGCTGTTATTAAGTGTTTGTATGAGTTCTTCATCGTCCAATATATTTCCTTTTGACATATTGAGCATTCTCAATGTTTTGTCTTCCATTTCTTTCAATAAATTATTGTCATCGTTTATATTCACAATTGTTTCGGTCCGCTTTTCTTCCAAATCAGGCATTTCTAATCGCACAACGTCTCTAGAAAAACGAATATTAAAAATAATTTAAAGATATCAATGTTAATAAATATTTATAGTGTTATTTACACTAATAACTGATCTTCCAAGCCCGAAAGTGTTACAGTGAAATTTACTAACGTAACTTGTATACATATGTCTGGTAAATAATGTGGATTAGACATTTTGGTTGTCATGTAGAATCTGAACTGTTCATCATATTCTATATCAGTATTACCAATACGCATTAACAACCGTCCACCCTATGATAATAATTTATTAATTAGACAAAACTCGGGTAGTTATTAAATTAAGTAAGATACTCGTCTAAATGTTATGTTCTCCAATATAGGTCTCAATGTAGGATCAATGTTTTCTTCGAGACCTTCGATCAAAACAGTGTATCCCAACCTGATCGCATCAATGATTGCGTTCATGATATCTGAATCCGTTCCTTTGCACGTTCTTAACGAATTGTCCATTTCCAAGGCCTTGATCCATTTATTTGCCTGTTCTTGAGGATCTATCATCAGTGGCCATCGACTTGCTCTGGTCACGATTATTGCACTGTCCGTTGACACCAAATCCCTAGGGAGGCCACACATATTCCATGAGCGTAACTCAAATGAATCGATTAGTACAGAGCTCAGCGAATAGTTTGTAGAATGTTGTATTTCATATAGAGTCAATTGTCGTAGCCAAGAATGGGTTATATCCTTACGATACTCGTCTGTAAAAGGTCCTAAATAGTTAACACACCCGGCTGCTATTATAGTATCACCGGTTACAGTCAACAGACGCTGGGCAAGGATCTAAATAGAACATAAACATTAAATTTGAATTAAAATACATTAGGTAACGCAAAGAATGTAACAAACTACTTGTATATTATTTTCCCATCTTAATTGTTCATCGCTTAATGCTTCAACTAGCAAATCAGATCTGTTTAATCGCGATTGTGTTTTACCTATGTTTAATTCAAGTTTGTTTTTTTCAGAAACACTCTGATCATAAGTATCTTCAAGTTTTTTTAGACGCGCTTGGACGTCAGATAACATTTTTTGCTTTGCTTTTAGTTCTGTTAATACAATATTAAGTTCATCTTCAGCTTCTTGTTGTCTAAAGTCATAAAAATGAAAATATTGTTGTTAAAATAACAACATGTTATTTCAAAGGTTTATGTGTTATTGTATATCAAAAATTGATTATAATAATAAAAATGTTTGAATTACTATATGACATAATATGACAAGTCAATAAATGCAGATAGAATAGATATCTTATCATATTTATATTATTATAATTTTCATTTTTTATTTAATAAATAGTTTAAGAGAAATTATTTCAAATGCTTTTCAATTGTATTATCAATTATTGAGTTTTAAATTATCTCTTTTATGGTACTTATTAAAACTAAAAAAAAAAAAATATTATATAAATGCTTAAATTGATTTTGAAATTTAAAAATTAAAAATGTTTAAATAGAATGTTAAAAATTAAATTAATATTTAGTAAATAATGATTTAATAATAACAATAATAATTCTAAAAAATTAAAAAACCACTTTGCAAATATAATTAAACAATATAATTACTTACTTCTTTCTTTTCGGTTCGACTATTTTAAATATTAGATAATAACTGTACACAGCCCGAACCCATTTACACATTGATCGAGCCACTGAAGATTGTACTGCTACTTTTTTTTCATTAAAATCTGGATTATCTATGTAAGGCTTTAATTGATTAATCATCTTGTCAGAAATGTTATCTGTATCATATTCTTGTAAAGTTTTTAGGAAATTGCTATCCCCTAATACTAATTTAGCTGAAGCCCAATCAGTTCTAATCAAAAATACGTAAATATAATAAGAATATACTTCCCACTTATTATATAACTATTTATCAATTACTTTTTCTTCAACAATAGACATACAGCTTCCATAACGGTTTGAACAAGTTTAGGAGGTTTATTAAATACTCTAAGTTCATTTATATCTTTCTTGTTTAGAGATTCTAAAGCTGCTTTCGCAGCTTTCATTTCTGGCATAGCTAAAGCTAAATCTTTTTGTGCATCTTCAGCAATTGCTTGTGCAGCATCAGCTTTTATTTTGACTGCTGATTCTTCCAAAAGAACTACTTCTCGTATTGTATCAACGCCAGCTTTTTCTATTGTTAGATTGTTCATTAATTTTAATGTAGCTTCGTTTTTTTCAAATAATTCTGGTTCCATAGCTTTTAATTTTATTTTCATTTGTCCAACCATGTTGAAGGTTTCGTACAATTTTCCTAGTCCTTTTGAAATACGGTCAGATTCACTTTTGATTTTATTGGTTTGAAACTCATGCATTCTTAAATACAATTTTAAGAAATCCAAGTAACTTTTTGGTGTCACGTAATAGTATCTTCTCATTTGGTCATAGAATTTTTTTGTCGCTTCACTAACTGATTCATGCATACTGTTACAAATATTTGTTAGATTGCCAATTAAATTTAAATTTCCAGATTGTGAAAACTTTCCTAAGCTGTTATATGCTACAGATAAAAGAGCTTCTTTCGGCCAGTCATCAAACCAATCTATAGTCGAGTTATTTACCAATGAAGGAAACAAACGACATCTTCGTCTAAATGCATCACCAATTGGGCTCATACATATTACGAGATGTAATTTTGAGCGTACTCGCTGTATGAAGTATCTGTATATTGCCTCTCGGTTCTCACTACTGATTCCTGATTCTGTGGCTGATAGTCGACATGCAATAATGACCTTCTCCAGATCATCGTGTTTAAACAGATTTGGTACTTCCCCTGAATAAATTGATAAATTATAAAATATGTATTGCTAACTCATAATAAATTTTAACAGCAAATATAAATAATTTACCTGAGTTTAAAATATTATTTATATCTTCTAAAAATACTTCTTGTACAATTTGATTATCTGTGAATAAAAACGTCGTGTCTTCGAATTTGGCACCAGCTAAATAATAAAGATTAACTAAATCTTCGTGGAAAGTAGTATAGTCATACGATTTCGTTAACTCTATTTGAAAACATCTAAACATATAACACGAAATATTTTGAAATTTAATATAATATTCATCTTGTTTTTTACGCTTTTATTGTATAATTCCTACTTGTAATCATTAAGATGTGATGCCAATTTAGTTAATGATTGTTTCCCCATACCACTAACTCCAACAAGTAAAGCATTCCCTCTTTCTGATCTCAATATCCTCGCTATACGTGATATGTGTTCGATGGCATCCATAAAAAATATGATTTTCATGTCTTTATTATAAATCATATTAAAATCCATTAAATTTTCAGTTAACGCTTTTTTTAATTTAATGATATCAGTTATTTCTTCGTAAATTCGATTTTCTTTAGTATTTGAGTTCATGAAATCGCCAAATATTAACATAGGAGGTTGTGTTAGATTTATGTCAGATTTAGAAAATTCTAACACATTTTTATCGAAATAGTTTATGCACACTTTTTGAAGAAGATTGTAAAAATATGATCTGTCTTCTTGACAAACTAAACGATCATGGTATACACGTAATGTTTCATGATACCATAGTCTATAAGAAGAAAAAATAAAATTTATATGTTTATATATTAGTTACAATTACAATATACCTGAACAAATGTGTTCGATCTGGTATAGTAGCAAAATCCGCTTGCAATACTCCTTGTATGGTCTTCGATAAATCTCTAAGATTAAAGACATAATGTGACTTTGCAGGAGTAGGTAATAGATCATCTGAAATACGTGAATACACTTCGATACTAGCTTCTACTATTTCTGGACAAGAATTAGCTATGATTGGCGGAAATTCTTCAAAAAATCCGTCCAAAATGGATGTAAATATAGTTCTCATAGCATTTTCGCTTGTAGTTGGTATAAACAGCATAGAAAAATGTCTTGTGAATCTCGGAGTTAAGGGATTTCTACCTCCACCCGGAGGTGCACAAATAGTACATAATATTACATTTTCTATATATTTCCAATCTAACTTATCTCGATCATATATTCCACCAGAATCCAAAAGTTGTCTTAGTAATTCAATAGGTGGTTGAGCTCCATAAATTTCAGGTTTTGGCATGTTGACATCATCAATGAAAATCGCTAAACGCTTATTTCCTGGTGCACCAAAACGATTTCGTTTTTTCTTTATTAATTTTGATTCTAATATTTGTTGAGTCCTAAAACTACTAGTTTGTGCAGAAAAATTTATTATTCCGGTTATCCAATTATCTGTTGTTGCCAAATTCTGCATGACTAAATTTGCAACTGAAGTTTTTCCTACTCCTAGTATAATTTTACAATTATATTATTAATAGTATTATATATATTAGTATTAATAACAAGAGATATAATTTAGTCTAATTCAATACTCCTTTACCTGTGGTTCCAGTTAGCATTACTGGTTGGTTCATTTGCACTAATCTTTGCATTACATATGCATATCGAATACTATCTACTGTAGGTACTAGTAACTCAAAATAAGGTGTATTTGCGTTATATACAAATTTTGGAACAATGGAATCCCAATTTTCAAGTGTGTTATTTACTGTGTTTAGGTATACATCGAATAATTTCATTCCAGGTGAAATTAAAAATTCCGAATGGTTTTCAAATTGATTAAAAACTAAATTTTCGAATTTATTTTGAGAAGAATCTACTAAATTTGATCCTAATGACCACAAATACGAAAATATAAATGATTGCAAAATATAGTTTTGAATTTTGAATTTTTCTGTTTCTGTTTCTATATTAAAATTATCAGAGTCAGATAATAGAGATTCGATAATAGAACACATCATTGTCACTTTACTAATTTCAACCTAAAATAGAATTAAAATCTGTGTTTATTCTATATTCATTGAAGTTAAATTTTGGTAGAATTATACTTGTTTTATTGGAGCCAAACAATGCTTGTCAATAAATGAAAAACCTTCGTAAACATAGGTTTCGAATAGCGTCAATAGATATTTTTTTATTTCTATGTTATTTTGAATGGCATCATTTCTTAATCTATTTATCCATGAGTTTACATACGGCAACCATCCTAGTTCAGTTGCGTCTACGTAAACCATTCCACATCTACTAACAGTGGCGGGTGATGCTTGTGATAAGTCGCCCACTTCAAAAATCATTCTAACCTGAAAATTATGTAGTTCTGTTATTATAATGAATTATTTTAAAAGCCATAATCGATTATAGAATCTACCCAAGAGCTTAATTTAATTCGTTCTGAATTTGCTAAACATAAGAGTTTATTATCATCAAGTACGGTATTAAGGTTCTCGATCCATATTGCATCTACAGGGCCATCACACACCACCCATTGAAATATTTCTTTTGTTGTTTGAACTGTTTGTCTTATAAACTTTCCAAGTAATCCGTCCCTCCATTCCATTGTAAGGAGATTTACTTCACCGTAAAGTTCGCTCATAGTAATAGCTTTGGGATTTAATTGATATATTTTAACTGGTCTATAATATTGTTCTTCTATTTTATTATTGTAAAGCTCTGTTAATGTTTTACTAAGTATTTTTAAAACAGTGGTCTTTCCACCACCTGTCGAACCAACGGTCATGATACCATGTCGCACAATTATTGTCTCTAATAGCTGTATAACTTTTACATAAATACACTCTTCAATTTGATAGCCATTATTTTCCATTACATTTTTAGCTGTAGATAAGAACATTCCATAATCTTGTTCTGGTAATACAATCCCAGGAAATAGGTCATTTAATATACCCTAAATATTTAAATTATGTTATTATTATAATTATATTTTACACATTATGAATAATTCTAAGAGTACTTGAAATAGTATAGCATCATCTTTTAGGAATTTTGGTAAATTACTATCTCTCAGAGCTCTAATTAAAACTAAATTTTCATTAATGAAAGGATTTTGTCGTTTTAATGAACCAGCCATTACTAAAACGCTTTTTACAGCTCTTTAAAACATAACGATTTCATGATTATAGTTAATAATTTAAAAATATAATAAATAAGATTACCTCATTCCAAAGTCATAGTGATCCTGTATAGAAAGCTGTTCACTACATAATTTATACATTTTTACCATTTTTTGAGACAACATTTTTGACGACTCGAAACCTTCAGAATACAATATAACCTCAGCAATTAAACCATAGTCTGGTACCATCATTGCCATTGGTCTAAATAAAGCTTGTAAATTATCTGGTAATTCACTTCTTCCAGCATATCCTGGATTCATTGTTATGAATGCTGCACATGTTTTTATAAGTCTAATCTCCCGACCTTCAAACATGAACTTAGTGGCATTTATTAATTTTGCATTCATAATAGTGATTAACTGTTGTGCGATAACCGATAACACTTCAATTTCTATACGGTTAAATTCGTCAAAACAACACCATGCTCCCGATTGAGCCAATCCAGAGAAGAATTTACCCATCATCTGAAAAAAAAATTGTTAAATTTTTTCCTTCATAATTTATTTTTGCCCATATATTTTGTACTTTGTAATCTAAACCATCAGAGCAGTTAAATACAACACATTGTGTAGCCAATGCTTTTGCAAGATCTTTGGTTGTTTCGGTCTTTCCAGTACCCGCAGGTCCAGCTGGCGCTCCCCCTAAATTTAACTGAAGAGCACCCATCAAGCACAAATAGCATTTGTCAGTTAATGGTGTGATCACTAATCTAGGAGATGCACCCAAGTATTCAAATGCATATAGCCAACGAGCATTAGCCATATATGCAACACAACTATCCACAGTATCCCAATAATAACGAAACTGTTTTAACCATTCAAAATTTAAATCACTGTTAATTTTATGGACTACCATAGTTGATATTATATCTCTCGCATGAACATCAATTGTAATCAATGCACAGATTACAGAACGTTGAAGTGTAGTTAAATATCCTCGAACCATAGCTGCTAAATTATTTAGATCCTAAAATAATAGTTTATTTTTATTAGTATTAAAATATTATATTATAAGTTTGATTTATTGCCCAAGATACTTAATTTAAAACATTTTTGTTCAAATTTAACCAATTTTTCTTGTATATTAGATTTAAGTTTAAGAATTTTGTGGACATCACGACACCACATCATTTGAGATACCGCAATTATTAACTGAAAAAAAAAAATACAAATTAATTTTACTTAAATATTTACGTTAAATTATTTAAATTTCAACCTGAGCAGCGTGTGATAAAACCCATTTTTCTCTAGGAATCCTGTCATAATCTTCCATAGCTACGAACATAAACATCCGCAATGTATTTACCATCTCTTTTTCTACCCTCGTTAGCCAAAATTCAACGTTTCCAGCTGCTTTAACTTGTGATGAAAATTTAACGATTTCCCTTTCAGGAGATATCATGGCGATAATGTTAGTAGGTGAACTACCTTCTTTATCTGGAGTTAATGGTTTTCCTTCTTTATCATCATTTTTAAATTGTATTCTCCAAATAGCATCGAAACATTTATTCATGTGTGGCTGTACAGCTCTAGTATTTCGTGCTTGAGCAATTATTTCTATAAGCTCATCATTTGACAGGAAATAAAACCGTGGAAATACAACTCTCTTTGATTCTAAATATGCTTCTAAATACAACATGATTTGCTCTAATTGTTGATTATTTTTTATAAGAGTTTTCAAGAGATCAGTATCGGTACATATGCTTATAGCCAAAGGATTTTTTTCAGCTTTCAGCATTATAGCTTTCCATGAACTATTTACTTGACTAAATAATGCGGCTTCATTTGGAAGCTGTCTTTGTATGTCTGGAGCAGAAAATATCGATTCCAAATAAATCCAATTATTCTGGCACATTATCCATTCGTTCTACAGAGATGATTTTTTTCAAACAATTATATTAATCTTTTGTAGATATATAAAATAAAATTACTATATTACTTACTAGAACATCGTTCATAATATTCATAGAATTTATCCATTCTTCAACTCTTGATCTTATCATTACTACATGTTTTGATGAAATGAGAGTATTTAAATTTATATTTGCTTCTTCTAATGTTAACTGAACTTCTTCTAACGAACCAAGTATAAAAATATCGTGTGTATTTTTATAAGGAAGTACAATTAAATCTACTATTTTCCAAGAATCTTCAATTTTTTTCAATATTGCTTCTAAAGTTGCTTCAGAACTGGCTTGTCCAGAAACTTCCATTATTTCCGTACCGTAACTGAACACGTTTAATTCTTCAAGTATTTTAAGAGTAAGCGTCTGATTAGTTGGGAATTTTGTACCAAGTATCTGCTCAATCTTTATCCAATGATGGTTCTTAAGATTTGGATTTCTTAACATTGCTATGATTGACATTTTTGTTTTGAAAGACTGTACTTTTTCATTAATAAAATTTATTAGTTCGCATTCAGGAATATTTTTTGTAAATTGCACAATGTATTTTAAATTAAGCGCTAAAAACATATTCATTTGTTCTACATCTAAATTATGAAAATTATCTGTTTCCCAAGCAGACATTTTTTTTTTCCCATTCAACAATACTATCTCTAAGCAATATTCTGAGTCTCACAGCTTCACTCGTTTCTGTCAAAATATCAAACTTTGTCATTTCTACTCGGAAATAACGTTGATAAGATTTATACAAGTTCGATTCTTTTTGAAGTTCTACTAGTTGGTCACTAAGTAAAGATAATGTCTTTAATACATGTTCTGTATCTGAATTAATATCAATTAACCATGGCTCCTAAAAATAAAATTTTAAATAAAATAATTCATATGCAATTCAGATTATTATTACTTGAGCTTCATTATTTATTTGTTCTACTTCTTGAAGCATGTTTATTATTTGAGAATCAATTATTTTGATGAAATCTTCTACAAGATTATTTTGGTCATTGTAAATATCATCAAATACTATTTGTAAAGAAGTTAGTTCTTCTGAAAATTTCTAAAAATAACTATTAATGAGTTTTTTGAATAATTATTACAATTATGATAAAAATATAGTATAGTAATAAAAATTTACATCAGAATTGTCAGTATCCTCTTCAGCAACAGGTATTTCAAATTCTTCTGCTAATTCATAAAGTTCCTTAATATAATTTAATTCGACATTTAGTTCTTCCAACTGAAATAAAAAACATATGTTTTTTAACGTATTCTTTGAGTTTTTATAAGTAGATAATAAATTATTTAAATTCATACCCTTTTAGAATACGTTTGTAAAAACTTTTTATAATCTACATATTGTGCGGCGTTAGATGGAGTAGTATTAAGGTATTTGAGGGATTCATTTACTTCAATTAACAATTTTTTTACCAACAGATTTCCCACTCTATATAATATTATTCATGATTAAATATAACAATTCTTTTAATAGTTTTTTTTTTACATTATTATAACATACTTGGTCAATGTTTCCTCAATTAGCTCTAATAATAAATTACAAGTAGGTCTAACAACATCTTTCATTAAATCGAATTTCAAATTGAACATGCCTAACATTTGATTGGAATTTATTTTATTTATATCGTTTAGTTGCTGTCTGTATTTCTCTAACATTTTTCGAAAATTAGTTAAACCTGTAAAAAGCAATACTCATTCAGGCGTAAGAAAATACTAATTCATTTGATATTTACTAGTTTCGTCTTGTATAATCCTTCTATCCAAGTCTTCATTTTCTCTATAGATATTGTAAACGTATTCCATACGTTTTAAGTATTTACGAACTGCTTCAAAGTTTATACTAATATAATTTAATATTTTTTCTGCAATGCTCTTATATTCTTCATCAATATCAAATAAAAACTGCAATGACGGTCCATTGCCGCACAGTCGATCGGTAATCTTACCACAAATCGAGGGACTAAGACAATCATTATTACGATCATTCAGAGCGATAGATTGTAAATAGCGAAGATACTTTCTATATATCATGTCAGACTTACCGCATAAAAGTGTTGAAATCAACGTCGTCCAGAAGTGGAGTGAAGTGAGTCACCATATTTGTTTTCCAATCTTCCATTAAAAACGATACGTACGTGATGTAATCGTTTAGGGAATAATTAAACTCAATACCTGTTTTCGTCATATAAACCTCAAATATGAACATTGGAGACTAGAGGGATAAGGATTTAACAAAGTCAGTAATAAATAAAATATTTTAATTTTATCAAAATAATCGATACCTTGGGGTCATCCAAAGACCTACTACCTTCTAGTACCATTTCAACATCAGTTCCTATTAATAAATCGTCAATAGGAATGTACTTATAATGCTTGTACACGTCTGCTTCAAATCTCATGATTTGTTTTTGGACGAATTTGTGTATATTTGATTGTAAAAAGAAATCAATGCACGTTATAAAACGGCATATTCTCTTGCAAACTTTGAGCTTGGACCTCTGGTGTTCGAATGGCATGTTATATAGTATAATATCTAAGTCATAAGCTTCATCTTTTTTATTAAATTCTGTATCATTAATAGTGAACCCAGTTTCTTTTAGTACATCTTCACATGCCGTGAACATCAATTTTTTGATTTTAAGATGAATTTTTTTTAAGGTCTTAATAGCTGATATGGTGCTATTCGTCTAAAAATCCCATGCAAAAAATTAGTATAAATAAATAATTAAGAGTGTGATCAGTTGCGCAATCAGCGCTAGGTTATATTAATTTGTCATAAAAACAAATACTACTTTGTAATTTATTGACATGAAAAAAATGTATAAATAAAATAAGCAATATAAATAGGGCAAGAATTACAATTCTTTAAAATATTACAAAAATATATAAAAATATCTTGTATGTTAAAAACGCGTTTAAAAATCTTTTTCTAACAATTCATGTACAGAAATAACAGAAATGTGTTATGAAATAATAATTTTTTTTTAATTTAAAATATTAATATTATTATCATCTCATTAATTATTATTGTAAAAGAATACTTAGGTATTAGGAGGTATACTTCAACTGCACTAGAAATTTGGAATTTTTATATAAGATATATGATTTAAATTTAAACGAATACAGTTAACTTATAATTTAATAATTCCAAAAATACCACAAAACAAAACTAATGATGATTCAAAGGTGTTGATTTAATAGTTAACACCCTGATGACATCACTAAATGTGACTACTTTAATACTTTATTCCAACCTGTTGTTCTTTAAATTGTTGGAAAGTAATTTCTTCGATAACAGAACCATTATATAAACAAATTTCCATGATCTCATTAATAACTTCGGATATTTGTAACGACGTGTCCCGAAGTGGATTGCATAGAAGAAATACCGTCAGAGGAACTTGTAATTCTTGACGTGTGTGATAGTACTTTTTCCATGAAATAAATTTATACCAGAAATGCAAACATTTCCATTGTTGATATTTTTTGAATAGTGTCAACTATGAATAAAAACAATAGATTTTATTCGTTTTTGAAAATTCATTATACATTTTTTCATAATAACTTATACTACATCATAATAACAAATTATATAATTTATATTCTACTATATTTTTAAGATTATAATACATTCAATTATTTATTTACTCTTATTAAACATAAAGTAATACTTAAATGTATTAAATATTTTATTTTTATATTTCGCATATTTTATAAAATGTATGATGCATGATTTGATACTTTTACATTTCTAATAACCGCTAGGAACTGAAATTTAAAAATCTTATAAACTTAATTTACAAACATGGCTTATTAAAAATAAATGAAAATAGTCACCAGATTCAACAAAAAATATAATAATAAATAAATTTATTTTCTTGAGTATGTATATTCATATTCATACATATTTAACCCAAGTGTGATCTCATAAAATCAACTAACTTATGTAGGTGCTATGTTTATAATGGGTGTTAAGTGCCATGTGTATTAGAGCAGCGGTTCCCAACCTTTTTAGTTTCGCGGACCATTAATTTTGTAAAAAAATATTTGAGGCCCATCCATAGCATACCTATACGTTTTCATAAAATTATAATATATAACATAACATGTTATATATTATATATATATATAGTTATTAGGAATAAAAAATTAAAAAAATTAAAAAAAAAAAATTGTTTATTAAAAAAAAAACTTAATTCAACTATATCACTAGATAAACAATTTAATGTGATTTTTGACATTGTTTATTCTTCACGAGAAAGTCAATATCCGGATTAAAACTTGTTACTTGTACACTTATTGTACACTATAGTTAAAATTGATTAAATGTTATTATGATCAGAAATATAATAATATTATTTTAAATATATATAATGTTTAATAATATTATACTTATGGCTCGCGGCCCAGTACCATGCTGCTCGCGGCCCATGGGTTGGGAACCGCTGTATTAGAGTATTCAATATACGTTATATACGTATTTATGTATAACACCGTGAGACTGTATAAACTACAATATAGAGTACCTACAGTGTAAACTGCAGATTGATTTGTTAGTGTACAATATACACATAGCTGGTCAAAATGTCGATTTTTATCTTTTTAATATTTTCGTTTAACAAAATATAAATTGGACCGTATACAATTTTCTAATGTCACATTCGTACAAACATTGCGACATACAATTCGAACGCTTATTAAATCTTTACAATGTTTTTATCCATAAATAGTTAAAACTTAAAACTTAAAATATATTATAATATATATACAAAAATATACTTACGAAGTATAATGTTATATTCTTAGATGTATATATATATATATTATATTTGAACGTGATTCATATTTCATTTAATTACAATTACTTAAATATAATTTTACAAGATTAATTATGTATATAAGTACTGAGTAAAATTCAAGGAATGATATAGAATGAACTGGAAACAATAGTCATAAAATTCGATTACTCCTTATAGTTAAGGAAAATCTTGAACGGTAAGAAAATCTTATTAGCACTCGATATCTTAACATAGTTGCCGGTTTTTACCCTTTCAAAAATTCTAAAACTTAAATGATCTGGCTTCCTGTCACCCGCTACCAATTCGTTTCCAGTTCATATTATAATATCTTGGTTCATAATTTAAGTGTATTAACTTACATCTTTAATTTTTTTATAATACATATACTGTTCTTCAAACTCTGTAAAGGGCGTGAATGTTATTTCATCTTTAATGTGTGACATAAAACCTTCGTTACTTAGCGTAAAAAAACAATGTGGGTCGATGCTCTTGAACAAAACAATTTTAAAACTATACGGTGTAAAATATTTAGAATTTTTGTTGACAACGTAAACTAAATAGACGAATTTGTATTCCGTTGAATTTTTAAACTGATCTATAAGCTTATCTATGTCTATTATTTCAGGAGGTACTTCTTTACAATACTGTTCGTTAGTTTCGACAATATTGTCATCTATTTCGGATTCATCGGACACAGAACTTTCTAATTCACTCGGTTCCATTGCTAAACATTTAAATCAATTCTATTATAATCCTTAATTATACACATTTTTTATAACATAATCAATTATATACATACATTCCACATCATCCACCTCAATTTCTTTCCCAATATTATTTTCATAGTCTTCTCTTTTTTTTGTATATTCTAAAAATCCAGACTAAAAAATAATAATATATTGGCCATTTTTAATTAAAT